ATCTGGGGTATTTGTCTTAAAGTTGTTAGCTATGGTATGCCTTCATAGAATCTGCCTTTATGCAATTCAAACCTTGCTAGCTTTGTTCAGTACTTGCTGAGTAATCAAAATTTCTTGTCTCAGATACTCCAAACCCAACTTCTGCAGCAGCTCCAACTCCAAGTTTTACTCCTAACCTACTTGATGCTGCCTTCTCTTCGGCTCCAGTCCCCAAGAGCTCAGAGCCAACAGTGGGACAAGGCCTAAGTCAGGATATGTTTGATCAAGCTTTTGGTGCTCCAGATTCCAATCCTTTTGGAGCACCCCCTGCAGCAATGGTAACAAACCGCTACTACATCCATCCTGCAGATTTTAGATGCACCCCTGCTCTAACATAGCTAATTGAAATGACTAAATTACCTCTTCAGCATGGCATCAAGTTTGGCAAAGGACTAGTAATGAGGCATACACTTGATTCAGCTGTTTGAGCAGAGATTCATCTGAAACTTGCAGGAATTAAATTTTTCAAGACCAGGGTGTGAGACCTCTAGTTTAAAACTGCTTTAGTTAAAATATCCCTGGATATTAAATGCATTTCTTTTGCAGACAACTGTTGCGCAGTCTTCTGTTTCCACGGGGGCTTTTGGAGATGCTTTTGGGAATCCTTTTGCTTGACCACAGGTTTGCCACAAATGAGCAGCTGTTCCTGACTCTACAATAATGGAACAAACCTAACTTTTTTTTTTTTTTTTTTTCTTTTTTTTTTTTTTTCACAGCTTCTATTTAAAGAGGACAAATGAAGATCTTCACCTCAAATGTGCCGACAGGACAAGCTGCTCCATGCAAGACAATCCAAATGAACTCTTCTTATTCTTGTCCTGTCCCCAAAACACTTCTCTTTTTTTAAACACAACTGATAGTTCTTGTTCATGTTTGACTGATCAACTTGGTAAATGTCTTGGTATGATCTTCTGAAAGGAAATTGTTCTGTGAAAATGTTTAGATGTTCACTGCTAATGCTGTCTTTACTAAAGAAATAAATGTATAATGATGCAGAAAGGAGTTTGGTCTGTTGCTTGCTTTAGTGATGAGATTAATCAACGGGTAGCTTTAATGCTTCTCCATCCCAGGGGTTCCCACACTTAAACTTATAACCTTAAAAAGTACTTTTATATTATATAGATAGATGGATTTGTTTTTACAGGTCCTAATTTTGTTTTATGCTTAGGACTAAGGTGTAATTTTTGGCTAGGGTGAGTTATGCTGTACTGATGGAGCACAGGGGTATTTCCTCAAATTGAAGTTCAGACCTCTGGTTTTTGATTGAAGTGTGTTTTTTTTTTTTGTTTTTTTTTTTTTTTTTTACAAAGACTGAACTAGCAACCCCTGGTGGCCCCAACTTTGAAAGCCACTTCTTTTTTTTTTCTTTTTTTTTTTTTCTTTTTTTTCTTTTTTTTTTTGCAGTAGGTGAAACTGAACGAAGTTCTTTAAAAACCTTTTATAATGTGGATTCTGTGGTTGGGATCCCCCCCAAATTGATTCTGAATCCCTATGTCCTTAAATTTACAGATCACTTATCCATTTCTGTATTTGTGAAAAATAAATTGAATGCAAAACTCCAAATACTATCATTGCTTAACATTTTAAAAACCTTCACATAGAGCAACTACCTGAAACCTTACTGAATATTTTAACTTATACACCTTTTGGTATGGTAAAGTCTTCCTCTTGGATTTTAGAGTGCTTATAAAGCAAAAGTGCAATTGTCAGCTTTTGTGTAAATGAATGCTTTTGGGGTCTTTAAATTACATTTTATTAGCTGGAACAAGAGGACAATGTGCAAAAGTCATTAAGACAAAGAATGGTAATCAGTTAATTTATTAAATGCTGTTAATTCTATAGTACTAAAAAATAGACTAATGGTGGCAAAATGTGGTTATAAGGAAATAAATGGAACTCTTATATAGTGTTACATAATGTACTGTATGCATTTTTATTTCCTAGTCAGATCTGCAATATAGACTTTTCACAAAAACACAACCTAGCTTATGTAAGGTTTACTAATTTATTCTCTGTAGAGTCATTTGTTCTAGAGTTAATTTGCCATTATTAGTCAAAGGCTTTTGAAATGGGGAGTCTTTAGATTCAAGATTATTTGACTATTTTCAAAACAGGTTTGTCATTGTTAAGCGATTTTAATATGTAAGGCATCACTGATGTGCCATAGAGAGGCTGCCCAAAGGTTCTTTGTCTTGTTTGGAGTCTTCAAAGCATTACTTCTGTCTCCTGTTATACAGTATCATTACCTAGTTGCTGTAAGCCCTTCAGTCAAACGGCTGTCAGAAGCTTAAATGGTTGCAGAAAAAAAGTCTTTGATATGTACAGTAGTCATAAGTTGCAGATCTTTAGTTTGACTTAAATACTTTATAACAATGTCCATAGTTTTACTACTTGCCTTTTACATAAATGCATAAATTCGACATAATCTAGACTGAACACAGTAGAAAACAGTTGCCTCCTCTCATTAACAACACCTGAACAGAATCATGGTTGACCTTTAAATAACCCCATCCCCCATTAAACAATCATAACTCAAAATGGAATACGCCCCCTGGTGGCGATAAACACAAAGGACAGATGGCTTCTACAGTGCTTGTTTGGTTTGGTTGAACACTTATCACAAGTGCTTGGTTCTCCTTTTGGCTTTAGAGTCAGTAGCAGTTCTGAGAACATTTCTGCAAAGAATTAAAATCCTTGTGATACATATTTTTATATTGTGACTTCAATTTTTTTTTTGCACTGCTGTAAGGATTAAGAAGTCTGACAGAAGTTGGCTCTGGAGAAGTGGGGCTTTCATCGCATTAAGTAGCAATGGCTTATTCATTTATAAAGCTGCAAGAGTGCTGTGTGAGTTGCATCTCTCGCACTGACTCATTGTGGTGGATCAATTGGGTCACATGCAATTACTAAGAAGATCATAGATTCTGCATTGAAGTAGTTCTGCAGGGTACCTTTAGGTTTGAAAGGAGAAAAAACTAGGAGAAAATGGCTATAGGGAAGTTACCTTAATTCATGATGACGGATAAGAATCATTACTAATTGTTTCTCTAATTGGAGTAACACTCAAGAGGTCCATGCTATCTAAGGAGCTTCAGCAATTAACAGAGCAACCTTTTCCATGTGGAAACAGTAGTTCTACTTATTAGATGCCAAAGATAAGGGACTTTTATCATGCAAAGTAAGTTGTTTTATTCCTTTATCAAAATGATGCACAAAGTGGTATTTCACCTAATTCATGCATCTTTGTGTAATCCTCAGTGGTTCTGCTGTCTGAGCAATGGTCCCTCCCTCTCCTCTGAAAACTAGCAGTTAGAAAATAGCTAAGAGTGCCTCCTCCAGAAAGCTCATACTTTAACAGCACTGTGCCAACATTGTAAACAAACAGTCTTTCTCCAATCGGGGAGAACTGATGTGAGGCAGAGCGTGCCAGTTATGAGGAAATGACTCTTTTTAACAGCTGATCTGCACAGCGCAGCTACTTTTCTTTTTAGCTAATGCCTGGCTCATGATTCACCCATCCTGACTATGAGACATGGAGGTGGCAGCATCATGCTGCGGGAAGGAGGTTCCCTCCCCCTCCAACTGACAGCAATGACAGAACCATTGTTGGATTGATAACTACAAATCACTTGAGATATGGAGTTTCCCCTGAGCAAAAATACTAATCATACCCAAGTGAAATCCAATTTTGGTAATAAAAAGCAGATTTCTTCTTTTTTTCCTGTTATGTACAGTGTATAATCATTAATCCATCCAACCATTTTTCGTCACGACGGGTGCTGGTGCCTACTGTATGAGCAGATTGAGGAAAAGTATTGCTTACTGGATGGTATCAAGTCTCTGACTATTAAATCTGATGGTAATATGCACAAAAAATTTTACTAACGGCATTGAGTCTGTACTCCACTCAGATTAGCAGAGAAAATAAAATACATTTTCTGACATAAAAGGGAGGAGAAGCTTGATAGTCTTTCTTCGAAAGGCAAATTTGACAACATTTCATTAAACTCATGCATACAATTTAACTGATTGAGGAAGGGGGATCTTAATCTTTCTTTTTCCCAGAGCTTGATAGAGCTCTGTAGCGACTTGCAGGGTTATTTATTCTCAGCAGAGCATAACTCTGCAATTGTATGTTTAGTCATCTCAAAGGGAAGTTTGATTTTAATTATTACCAGATAGTCATTTTGTGCATCGCCTATAATAACCCATTAACTGAATAGGCTGTACTGTGCTCTTGTTGAAGTAGCGCTAAAATAAGCAGACTTATTTCCTCTTTCAGTAATGTCAATTCATTTCCGTTTAAATTCAAAAATGTACCCAAGTTGTGTTTAATTCCTTTATTTCCTGACCAATGCAGTATTATGGAAGGATTATTGGAAACAAATTGCCTAGATTAATCCTAGAAAGTGCTAAATGTTATTTAAAAATTAATGCCTATGCAACTTTCTGCATAGCATCTTAATGGCATAGTATGCTAGAAAATGTCAGCAACACTGACCATGTGAGATTTCCTGTGATATTTGAAGATTTTAAAATCATATGAAACAAACATCATCTTTCTTTTTTTGTTCTGAATAATTTATTTTAAAATAAAGTTCTTCTCTGAAATAACGATGTTGTTGATGTGATGGCACAGCATGAGTGCCAATTGTTATCAATAAAGGGTTTCCTTTTTAATGGGACTTTATCAAATAGAAGTGTCACTGCTATAGGGGTCTACCAGTGTATCTAATTTGCCAGACAAAAGGATTCACAATCTTGTATTTAGCTAGAATGAATGGATTCACTTTTTTAATTCACCTAAATGTTTTAGATTTCACACACTGTGTAAAATAGATTATGGCATCAACTAACATAAACTTAGTCCAGTTTTGGTGCATATTTATCGAATTTTGTATACTTGGTTCATTCAAAGTTGGTTTTCCTCTTAAAATATTTACAAATGGACTATTTCAGAATTAGAATCTTGCAATTTTTTTAATTGCAAGAAACACTGTTGCTTAGGAAAACAACAGGCTACGCCTAGACAGCGATGACAAAACACAACCCGAGCTTAGAGTTTCCTACCTTTCTCACAGTTATGCAATAAAAATAAACAGGTATCTCAAATCAAAATGCAATTCAAAAGGAAAAGTCATAAAAATGTTGAGTTATGTCTTTGAAAAATATATTTAAATAATTTATATCGAGTTCCACATAAAGTCAAAAACTCTTAACCATACACAAACCTACTACATATAAATCTAAGTATGTGCTTATTTCAAACTTTTTCATAAGAAAGTTAGAGAAATAAACTCATTGATGGAGTGCTCCACCTGAGGCTCTACATTAAGTATCTGTGCACAATGTTTCCGAAAGTGTTTGCTGTATTACTAAGATCATATTCTTGCACTAACCTTTTTAAGGTTTGCACTAACAAAGGAATGACATGGATATACTGTAGTTCAGCTTTTTGAGACATTCTCCAAACTCAAAGTTTGGTCGTTTCTGTAAAGGCAGATCTGTCTTTACTATACTGTTTATACACTATAATGCCGCGGTTCTCAAAGTGTGTGGCGCGACCCACTGGTGGGGAATTGAGACGTGACAGGTGGGGCGCGCCAAGTTCCGGTGTGTGTGTGTGACTATAAATGTAGAATGTGTGAGAGCAAACTGTCCTTATAGCTGTATGTTGCCGCTTTTTAGACCAATCAAACCCACAAAGTAATCATTAATAGCCTACATGCAGTCTAATTAAAAGAACATTAGATATGAGAAAAATTTCACCTGGAACTGAAGTGCCAAAATAATGATTGACGTGACGTCGGCATATTATTTGTAACGGAATAAACTTTCGCGCCCCAGTGTTGCCAACTCAGCGACTTTGTTGCTATATTTTAGACCCCTCCAGCGACTCTTTTTAAAAAAAGGGACTAGCGACAAATTAGCGCCTTTTGGAGACTCTTACGTGAAAGCACGTATCGTTCCTTTTCTTGTCCTCCAGCGGCAGGTGCTGCCGTGGGGCGCCTCCCCCATCCCCACCCCGTTCTCCCCAGCTATCGCAGGAGTCCCTCTCAGCGCTGCAGAGACACAGCATGTTTACCCTCAGCGTCCAGACTGCAAATAAAGCGCACATGCGCCGGGATTGACGGCGCAGGTTGATCATAAATAACTGAATTTGAAATATTTTATCTTAAATAAATAGGACCAGTTTATTGAAATGACGTCTGACTCCACCCTGAAGCTCAGGTTTAATGCTCAGACTAATAGTGAATTCTGGTTTGGAGTGGAGAGGGAGTATCCACTCATCGGGCAGAGAGCTGTGTGCATTCTTCTTCCCTTTGCCACATCATATCTCTGTGAGATGGGCTTTTCAACTGTTGCTTCACTGAAAACAAAATACAGATCTCAGCTGAACATTGAGCATGACTTGAGAGTGGCAGTATCAAGCCTGCAACCCCGTTTTGAGAAACTGTGCAATGCAAAACAGGCTCATTGCAGCCACTGATGCAGGGATAAATAGACCTGTATTGCCAGATGGATTTCACTTCTTTTCTTTTATTAACAGATTGCAGAGTGGCACTTTAATTTTTTCTATCTTTGAGCTTGATACAAATTTTGACACAGCTGCATTTTCATTTTCTTTATTTTTGAGCTTGCTGTTATTTGATGTAGATAGTTTGTATTTAGATACTACTTGTTACTTCAATAAAATTGGAAAATTTTAAGATTGTTGCATATTTCATTAGCATTGTGTTGGGGCGATGGGGACAGGCGGGGCTTGAAAATTCCCCCTTGTCCAAAGTGGGGAATGACAGAAAAAGTTTGAGAACCACTGCTATAATGCAACATTACTAAACTACAGAAGCAACACCTTTTCAAGTACGAGATGTGACTGAGATACATGCTGTAATGTCTTCATGATGTCATCTAAGTGTTTTGATATATATTAGATTCATCTAGATTGGTGGCCACATTTTCCTCTGCTAAGTTGACATAGTTGTGGTCTTCATCACTGCTCTCCTCTTCATCTGACTCTGTTTCTGAATCACTCTCTGAAGCAGGAGATCTGTTGTCAGCCACTTCATAATCGTGCTCATCATCACTGTCCTCTTGATGTCTCTGTTTTTTTACGTTACTCTTTGCAGCAGCACATCCCTTGTCAGCCTCTTCATAATCGTGCTCATCATCACTGTCCTCTTGGTGTCTCTGTTTTTTTACGTTACTCTTTGCAGCAGCACATCCCTGGTCAGCCTCTTCATAATCGTGCTCATCATCACTGGTGTTGTCTTGCCTTTTCTGCTGTTTCCTCTCTTTAGAAGCATAATCCAACCGAGATGTTTTATAGCAATGTGCGCCACCATCTTTTTCACCCCCATTTCTGGCTCCCTGGCTTTTGTTGACCATTTTTTCAACATTGACGTAGTCCATTTCCCCATCATCCTCATCTTCATCCTCTGCGTAACTGTTCCTGATCGTAACTAGAAAATAGGAGTGCAAGAGAATGAGAGTTCTCATGAGAATAAGCTTTTCAAACACCACAAATATTTTCTTTCTACTTATAAAACATCAAACATATGTGAGATCTCATCATTAGCACTGACTTTGATTTAGAACCACAGGAATCGGCTCTTTGGCTCGTCGTCTTCTCCTGCAGACCAGACCGACAACCAAGAAAACCATCAGGAGAAGCATCAGGATCCCAGCAGGCAAGATGTAGGGCAGCATATTCCACCATGGTTCTTTAAGTTCAATAATGGAAGAAAAAAATTCAGCAAACATCCATGATGTGCAGTAGCATCCTAACACCACTTTTAAACGTTAACTGCTGCAAAATAAAGAGCAAAATCTATTCTGTTTTAGGCTTCACTAAATTACATCTTTTAAGCATCTTGCCTAATTCTACATAACTTTATACATCTAAATCCTAAGGATATTACTTGATTCATTGTTAGGTCTAGTCTTGTTTGCTCTGATGCTGAAATATGTTAGAATTGGCTTAGAAGCAAAATAACTACTAAGCACTGGATCGGATATCTAAACAATAATCTTACATTAGTAATTGAGTTGCTAAGTTCAAGCATTCTACAGCAAATGGTGTGGCATGTGGGTCCCTTAGTCAAAACGCATCAACACTATAGTCTGCTTACCTGTAAAAAGGACATTAATCGTTTCTGTCTCTTTAGACTTGTATGTCCCATTCAGATTTACTTGATACATGCAACTATAGTTGCCCTTGTGTTCAGGCACAGGGAAGTCAACAGAAGCTAAGCCTGTTATTGGGTTGGATTTGTTAAGGATTGATCTGTTGTAGATCAGGAAAAAATTAATTGAGTTGAGCGTTGAGTTCACTGAGCATTTGAAGGAAAGTATGGAATCCCCGGGGATTTCTGCAACTCCTGATTCAACCAGCTTCCCATTAGGAAGTGTCAGTGAGATAGTGGGCTGTGGAAGTGCAGCTGGAAACAAAAGGGGATAAAAAAAAGTTATTGTCAGTACACTTAGTAAAATGGTATAACAAACATTTCAAAATAATTATCCTAAACTTTTAGGAGCATTAATCTAAAGCTAAAATTATTTTAAACGTAATCTAAATTACACACATTTATTCCATGGTGAGAAAAATGCTACATTCTCTGAAAAAATGTTCTTAAGGTTTGAACCACAGCATTTTTTATCTCTTCACAATCACACAGTAAAGCCTGGTTCATGCTGAGAAACCAAGTCTTCTGTGTGTGTGTTGCAATTAACGTAGATATCCTGTTTGGTGCCTCATGACAGAAACTCTGTCTGGCTGTAGTGCCATCGACAATGCCTGGCACACCTCGGACACTATCCAGAACGCCTTACAGGACGCTAGTTTGTAGCTCTGTGCGATGGTTTGTTGGTTTGGACCCAAAGCCAAAACATGCAGCGTGATGGCCAGTCTTTCAGGAACACTCACGAGTGAACTGTGTCGTCCAGTGTTGGATGAGGGGTTGTAGATGGCGGACAAGCTCGTCAAACCAACACACAGACACCCACAATCATAGCTAGTCCATGATTGTCCGTCTTGCCTTGTGGCGTGAAATGACATAGCGCAGACCACACTTCAAAATTGGGCATAAATCAAAAATATCTGCGTCATACCTGCGACAAGCTAACTGCGACACACTTCTGCGAGAGTACACACAGCCCTTTCGATGGACATGAAGGTATACAGTAACATATGCAAAACTTGTCTATAGAGAACCACAGGGATCTTAAGCTCCTTCATTCTGCATAACAACCATTAGAGATAATCAACCTTTACATATATCTAAAATGATAGAATATTATGAGGAACTTTAAAATCTTGTAACCCATAGCAGAAGGTAAACACCTTACATAATAAAGAAAAAAAAATATCCCAAGGAGAAATTCAATGCTGCAACTTCTATTATAAGGTTTACTTTAAGAAGTTAAAGATGCTGTTGACAGATATTCTGTAACAGTCTGTCCTACAGCAGTCCTGGTAAAACCTCTGACTGGGGACACATTGTTGACGTACAGCAGTCTGATGAAAAAGATTTCTTTATATAAAGAATTGTTCTCTCTATCTCCAGACTTTCCTGCGGAGAATGAGGAGAGCCCACCTGCCCCCCCCCCCATCCGTGCGACCTTCTACAGAAGCACCATAGAGAGCGTTCTGACCAGCTGTCTCACTGTGTGGTGTGGAGGCTGCAGCTCCTCAGACTGGAAGAACATGAGAAGAGTGGTGAGAACTCCAGAGAGGATCATTGGGACTCCTCTTCCCACCATAAAACACATTTCATCCCAGTGCCGTTTATCTTGTAACATTATCAGCAGACATGGGCAATGTGGAGTCAACAAGTCATCTCCATGTCATGTATTTAATCTACCCAGCCAATTAACCAGGTGAGTCCAATCTGCACAGGTTAATTCACGGTGAAGATTGGACTCGCCTGCTTCAGTGGAGATGACTTGTTGACTTCACATTGCCCATGTCTGATTATCAGCCACCCCTCACACCCCCACCATTGACTGTTCTTCCTGCTGCCCTCTGGGAAGAGGCGTTGCAGCATCAGCTTCAGGTCCAGCAGGTTCTTCAACAGCTTTTTTCTATGCAGACTGTTAAACTGTTGAAACTCTAATCAAGGCTCTGCATCACACTAGAAAAACATCATATTTTCACTACCAACATGGTAAGATTTTCTCATAATCCCTTTCAATAGGAGACAACTCAATGTTCTACTGCATTTTGCACCATATTTATTTATTTTGCACTGCCCTGAATGTTTCCATATCAATTCCTTTTGCACCGTGACTTTAAACTGTTGAGACAGCTGGTCAGAATACTCTCTATGGTGCTTCTGTGGAAGGATGCTCTCCTCATCCTCCGCAGGAAACTCTGGAGATGCTTTAAAAAAAGGACTGCTTCTACACTGTTTAGATTCTGATCACTGCTGCACATTATAAATGGTAATGTTCACTGTTGTAAGCTGCCCGATCACCGTTGAAAAGCTGTATGCATTGAAATAGAAATCGTCTAAGTCTAAGGAGTGTTGAACAAACCCCGTCCTTCTCTATTAGCCCGTTAAGCTTCTTTAAGTCAATCCTTCTGATGGGGTTACCCCAAAAATTAACGGCAGAAGAGATCACACTCTCCACAAAGGACAAAGACATGTAGCATTTTGCTGCATACACTTGAAGGACCTAAGATCCTTCAGGAAGCAGTCTGCTTTGTACCCTCTTGTACTTTTCTTTTTCTCCTGAAAAAATCCAATATTAACCCCCTTTTCATATCATGAACGTATTTGCGTCATTTTAGGGGAGTCTGCAAATGTGCAATTCCAACAGGAACTACGGATTTGTAGGGGTTTGTATTATTAAGACAGCAAGAAACACAATAAACTCGTAAAAACACAGCATAGCATGTCTTTGGAAAAGATGAGAATAAAGAGTTGTTAAATAAAATAAGTAACACCACCGTGCAAACCTTTGCAAACTGGACCCAGTCCTGTTTTGTCAACTTAAACCAGGGGTGTCAAACTGGTTCCAGAAAGGGTCGTGTGGCTGCAGGTCTTCTTTCCAACCAAGCAATAGCACACCAAACTCCAGTCATCTCATCAAGTCATCATGTTCAGATTGGACTCACTTGATGAGGTGACTGGAGTCTGGTGTGATATTGCTTGGTTGGAAAGAAAATCTGCAGCCACACGGCCCTTTCTGGAACGGGTTTGACACCTTTGACTTAAACCATACTCTATCATTTATAGTATAACTGAGAAACTTACCTGAACAAACAGCAAACACCAATTTACAGCCGTTGGTGTCATTATATTGACAATGATATTCACTATTAAAGCCTGTACACGGAGAAGGTGATTTTGATGTGAGTTTCTCCTCTGGCTTCAGTGCAGTACCACAGTTGGATTTGCTGCAATGTGCTTGTGCCCTGTAGAAGTCCGATCCTTTATCACAGTTTTTACTATCGTTTCCAATGAGTCCATAGCATTTTGGAAATTCTAATTTAGCAGATTCTAATAAGAAACAGGACATTACAAAAAATGTATTAATAGAAGCTGCAAAAAAAATAAAAATAATTTAAAGCAAATGCATGTATGCTTTTTGACTGTGACTGACCTGAAGCAACTTGATGCAAGACTAAGACACAAACACCTGTAGTGAAAAACCAAAGTGTAATCAGATAATTCGTATACAGTAGATTTAAACTCTAATCTGCTCAAATTGCACATCTACAGTGGATTAGAAATTTAAATTTAAATTTTTTGATAAGACAGAAAAAAAAAGAAAAAGACATCTCACCAATTGTCAGAGAAAAGAGGAAGTTACTCCATCGAGTGTGCCCCATGACTGAGACTCCAACTGCACCCTGTGCAGTATAACTGTACCATAAGAACCGAAACTGTATTTAGAAATGAAATCTTGGTCATGTCAGGTTTTTTTTTTTTTTCTTAAGTGTCATGGCTACAGAGCATACAAGACTGTGGTTGCTGCAGCAGAAACCACAGCAAACATCTCTGTGTTCGAAGATAACAGAGTGAGATATTTTCACGATAAAACAACGTATTTACAGTTGTTCTTCTCAACATTGGACTATGAGGTTCTTTCATGGTTTAGCATCTTGTTCTCTCTGATAAGGTGGGGGGAGGTTGTTATGCAAATTTACCCCCATGAGAGAACCTGACGAAATGGAAGAGTAAGATTAGGGCCACTGAAAAAATGTAAAAAAAAGTTAACTAATTTTTAAATTTTATTTCAGTTTAATATGGGAAAAATACTCAGAATTCAGACTTTAATCTCAGAATTCTGATTTTAATCTAAGAATTCTGGCTAGTAGTTGGGCACCATGAAGTAAGAGATATGGGAGCACTCAGCTTCACTGAAAAAGATGCGAATTGTTTGGGAGTTCCAGTAACATTGGTTGAAAATGAGGGAATTAGGCAAATTTTTACGTGCCAGAGGGATCCCCGGTCATGCCATTTTATTAATGGAAGAGCAGAAGATGATTAAAACAATAGAGCTAGTCTCTAAAACAGACATGGCTTGTTAGCTGTCAGAGTTCAGTCAGAATTCTGAGATTAAAGTCAGAATTCTGACTTTTTTCCCAAATTAAACTGAAATAATATTTAAAATTAAGTTTACTTTTTTTTTTTTTTCCAGTGGGCCTAATCCTCTTCCGTATGACGATGTAGCCTGACTATGAACGTAGAAAGGAAACACATCAAAGTAAGGGTCAGTTTCCTTGTAACTAGTTTCTAGTTACACAGTAACTATTGGGAAACATATCAAATCTATTGTCATTTGTTAAAAAATTGGTCTGTTAAATATTACAGGAATAAGGATGTATTTGACATCAATTTTACTTTTATTCTACTTTTTTTTTGCGTGTTCCCCAGGGAACAATGCAAAACACTTCTTAAATTTTAATATTTAGCTGATAAATTACCTTAAATTTCCACATAATTAATTTTTATATAATTTACCATAATAACATCAAAACTGTGCTGTGCACTAGAGACAAAAACAAAGCCAGGATTTATAACATTACGTTGCCTGGACAAAGAAGAAAACATAGAAATTACAGATTAGGATCTATAAAGATAATGCAAACTAAATTTTGATTAGATGAACCCCTTGTGAGGTTCACATTTATTCATTGGTTGCAATCGTTAACCATTATTAAAAAAACATGTCATGTTCAAATTTCTAATAACAGGGGAAAACAGTAAACAATAACAGGGGACAATGTGGCATTTGTCATTTGTTTAATGTACGCATCAATCCCATTGTCAATCCATGTGTCATTTGACAGATTTTTACATTCTGCTTGCATCCACTTCACGTGATGATTTAATTTCGCCCTGCAAAGAAGAAAAATAATAATAATAATAAATACAAAATACAAAAAAATTATTATACTTTATGCAGATAGATGCTGCAATTCTGGCATCAATGATTTTCACCGACTTTCCCTGCGGTTATTAATGTGGAGAATGTAATAAATCGACGGGTGGACGAACAGACGGACAGACAGACAGACAGACAGACAGACAGACAGACAGACAGACAGACAGACAGACAGACAGACAGACAGACAGACAGACAGACAGATAGATAGATAGATAGATAGATAGATAGATAGATGATTTAGCTCTTTTTGCAATGCTCTTCAAAAATCCGATTGTACAAAGCGTTGCAACCTTTGCACAGTACAGGCGTCTCTGCGTTTGCAACCCCCGCACCCACTGCAGTGGCTTACCACTTCCTGTCTGAATGATATGATGCAAATACCATTAGTTTCTTTTTCTTATATTCACTCCTCCTTCTTTCTCTATAAGCAGCCACACCTCACTATACATCATGAGATCTTTTTTCAATAATTGAGCAAAAGCAATAGACTCTTTCCCAAAATAAGCATCAGGCTTCCTTTTTTTTCATCAGCCATGCCAACAGAGTTCTGACAGCTTAAGGTTTAGTTTATATAGTTTCAACAGTAAAGGTTCATATGTGTTGGTCTAAAATCATACAGATACAAGATTTTTAATGAATAATTTCTGTATTGTTATTTATCGCTGCATCTACAAGAAAAGGAGAATTAAGGAAGTGATAAATGGCCTCTACTTGTAAGTCTCTAAATCGCTTCACACCACCTACCCTCACACACTAACAGTGGAAGCTACATCGTAGCCACAGGTTCCCTGTGCGCTGCTGAAGCAAGGCTGTCATTTATTTGTGACGTTGGGCCGTCTGACCAATACCAGGGGCTTGAATTGGCAACTGTTACCAGATGAATCCATACCTGCTGAAAAACCATTATTTATTATTACTGTTTGTCTCTTCCAATTATTGTAATACAAGCCATCATCAAGCAGTACATCTCATTTCCTCCATAGTGGACATTAAAAAAAACAAAACTGTAAGGATGTTACAGTTGTGCTAATAGGTTTACATGCCCTGTATTTAAATCCTAGTTCCAAGAGAAATTACCCAAAGGATCCAGGATCAAAAGGCTACACACTGAACAGCGTTATTTGTTTAGTTTTATTTGCCTTCAGATTTTTCTGACAATTGCTGAGGAAATTTTAATGAATTAATAAAGTTTGAACACTGCTGATTGATATTTCCATTTTTTGCCATATTTATCATCCCTTTAATACAGTTCAAATGCTTTTTGCCACAGATTTTCTCTTTACGTTTATTTTCTTGCCTCATTAATCAGAAACCAGTAACATCAGTGCCAGTCTGAATGAGGGATAAAAGGATTAAAAAGTAACCAAGAATATCACTGACCCTTTATTCTCACACACTGATTACAAGAAGATTGCAGGTGAAGATGGTTACCTTTAGTAGGCATTTAAAGTTGTGCTACTTTGCATGTAGTAGGTAAACCTTTAACCTTGGATCCTTTTCATAATTCCTAATGGTGTTTGGGTCTAAAAATTTAAAGCATTGCTGTTCGACATTAAATGATATCACACAATTGACCATGAGGGAAAACAAAGGTAAGATAAAAATAAAATATTTCATATCAGTTTATAGTTTTCTTTCTTCCTGATAGCCCCATACCCCCATGAAGCATATTATGGTTTTCAAGCCAAATAATATGCATGTGTTAGAAACTTTCAAGCCACTCTTCCTTCCTGTTTTACTAGCTGTCTAAAGCCTATTTTTTGGATTTCCCGTTCCCTCATGCAAGTGCTGTAAATATTTCTTCGATTTCTTTCAACTATTTTTGGGGGAATTTTCACTTGAATTCACTTGAACAAAGGGGCTATAGTAGATATTTAATTTAATTATCAATGTTTGGTCACAAGAGGATAGTGGGTATGATCCCCATCTCATGACCTATTTTTCAATAGTCATGGTGATGACTATTCTTAGTCATCATATATACTGATTCTTAATTTATTCTATCACAATTGCATCTATACACTGCAGATTTCATGTAGTTTAGTTACTTTTGTTCCAGTTTATGTATCTAGTATTCTGAAAATTTACTATGATAACTGATTAGGTTTAAAAAAGGAGAGCTTTCCAGCTTTCACTTTGCTAATTACTCGACTTTTCTTCCCTCCTAGGTAGACAGGAAGCACAGCAACACATACCTCTCTTGACTCCTTTTGCCCTGGGTATGTTGAAATAAGGGAGCAAGATTTCCATTCTCTCACTGTTTTAATAATTACACACTTCCAGTTGACACATCCAAAGACAAACAATTGCCACCATTTTTTTTTTGAATTTCCAAACATCTTAAACTAACCTTTGGCTGAGAAAAATACTTCTGGTACATGTAGCTAACTAGGTTCTCTGTGCTGATGTACTGAGTCAGGACCCCTTAAAAGCATTAAGAATATATTTTTTTTCCCTCAATTTTAGGATTAGCAGCCCAACAATTCAAATTAAATTAATAAACCAGACTAAATGTGAGATGAAAGGTGTAGGCAAAAATGATTTGGCTGCTGCCGGGTGGGGCTAGTTTACTAGGCTAAAGAGTAAGGGCTCAGTAGATATTTTATAAAAAGATAAAATAAAATAGATACATTAAAAACTTGAAGAAATAACATACTGTCTACTATAAGAACAACTTTTCCCAAGTCAGCTTAGACCCAGTTTTAAAATGAATTCTAAGTCTTAGACTGAGCAAAATAGAAACATTGTCGGATATTTTGCATAAGATTAAGTGGTAGCATCAATCAGTTGCTGCAGATTTGGTAGCTTATTTTCTAAGATGCATGATCTGAAGTTCCTAAAGGTGCTTTACTGGGAGAGATCTGTCAGTGAGGGCCCGTAAAGTACTTTGTTTCAGGCTCAGAACTGAAGGATCCAGTATTCAAGGTGGACAAACAGATTTCACACAGTGTTTATTGAAAACAGAATCAAAGTGAGCAGCGTCGGCATCTAAGGCGGGAACCTTTGTGGATGGAGATAGCAGGTTAGTGATCACATCTTTCTGGAAGTGGATGAGAATAAACGTGGGAGTCACTAACCTGGTCTTATAGTTCAGTCCGAATCCAGAGATAGATGATGGCTCCAGCCAGCTGGAACCCAACGCTGCACAGCGGTCGGTGCACAGAGAGTCTCAAACACTAATATATGGGTAGTCGCAGAACAGGCAGGAGATCAGAACTGAGCAGACAAATGTAGGCAGGATGATCCAGAGAGCGAAGCCAAAACCGATGTCGGTGACATGGTCAGAGGGGTACTAAAGGAGAATCCAGGATGGATTTGGGTCAAAGTTCTAGGTACAGTACAGAGTGTGGCTAGCATGCTGGAAATTAGGGCAGGCAGACTTAGCGGTTGGGGAAACGGTTTCGGTCGGTACACAATCAGACAGAGATCAGCCAGGAGTCAGAAGACAGGGCAGGCAAGCAGATCAGAC